TATATATATATATATGTATAGTGGTAGCAAACCGGAATAGTTTTTGACTGATAGATAGTGAGCACACTGTAATTTGAGCTGAATGAAACTCACTACGCCGTGTGTTGTGTTGTATTTGTAACTGGCTTTGTTGAGGACGATTAGTGTGACCTTTTGGAAAGTTTGGTATGGCCTTCGGAATCAGCAAAATACTGCGTTTGAACCAAGCTCTGGCCACCATAACCTGTTGCATAATCTAAACTCTTAGTTAAGATGAAGGGACGTATCACTCTCTCTTCCTGATTATGTGGGACAAGTCATACAGTTCAAGTCAGTCAAGAGATCCCGTCGAAACTGAGAGAACTTGGCTCTCACCCGTCATCGACTCCATGAAAACATCTGAAGCATAATAAATTGAATCTCTGGATCGGTTTTTCGGAACAGTTTCACAGGATCATCAGGTGTAAGTTAGGTGTGATTCGTACACTCTTCCTTTGGGCACATACCTTCAAGCATCTCGTTTTCGTTGGTTTCGTTTCTGTCGTTCTTGATTTAATCAACCTCTGGTAAGAACTTTGAAAATATTCTGAGTACAACTGCGAATTAGTCTGTTTAAAGTTCTCCGGCAGTAGGATTATTTTTACTTTCAGTACTTGCGTCTGCCTAACCTGGAGGTGGAAAATATCTGACGGAATTCCACATAAAGTGACAGATCCTCCGAATACCTCTTTTTCGTCAGGGTGATCAGGCATGATTTGATTTATCAATACAAAGTCTGTCTTCTGTGATAACAGACGTAACATGTTGCAGTAACTGCAGTCGTGGAGTCGAACTCAGTCTTCGAAACAGCGCTGTTTCATAGAGGGACAGCTTCAGTCTTGAATGTGAGTTCTGTCATCACGCCCTCGTGTTGCTGAAACGCACTGCCGATGCTCCCGCTTCCCTCAATTCTGTCAAGCTTGATTTGGAAATAAACATATCCCTTTCGTTCATGTTGATGATGGAGTGTCCAAAATATTCCGGAGCTTATATTACGTGTCAAGTTTCATTAATACCACATCATATTATATGATTGTATGTTGTTGTTGTCGTCAGCTAGCTAATGATCACATCACATACTGCTTTCCGATTGCCTGTTCCGTAAATCTTCAACAAAAGTTGTTTTCTTTAGACACCTTTAGACGATGGAAGCGTTGCCCCGTTGCTGTCTTGCAAAAGACCGATCCCTTCGTTGAGGGGGGAATGGATGGGAGTGTATCCTCAAGGTGTGGGTCCAATTCATTGGACGAGCCCGAAAATTCATCACAAAAATGTCAGAGAATCCATCCACTCTTACTCATCTTCGTTCAGCCCCATTTCACATTACTCAACGTAACGCTCTGCAGAAATAAGCATCCTGTGTGTTTTTCTGATGGGTGTTGAGTGTGAAGAGTCCCGCTAGAGTATTGGTGTTCGTAAGTGTTCACATCCACATCGATCTTATGTTGAAAAAAAAACATTTGATGCTGCCGTGGAAGACACTCAAAGGCGAGTTTTTTTCTTGTGGATTAAAAATGGATCCAATCGGCTCATGAGACTCGATGTACCTGATCAAGTGCTGTAACCGTAGAGATCGGTGGCTACGGTACGAACTCACTGGCCTGACTGTCCGTGGTTCGAGCCTAACCTTGGCTTTCGGATTCGCCTGTCTAGGCTTGGGCATCCTGGCATTATCCCAGCTCCAGTGCTTCCTTAGAATGAAATGGCATGGCAGCTAGGAACTGAAAGGGCGTTACAGCCGTATGGCTTCATCGTTTACATTCTTACCGAAAACCTCCGGATCACTGCCGTTTACACAATATTTAATATGATACTTGATAGCTATATAACTTTTCACTTTTGGCTGACGATAGGGGGCTTTGTTGGGTGAATAAAAATAAAATAAATCGTTCGGCTGTAACACCCTTCCGGTACTTAGCTGCCATGCTACCCGAAGGAAGCACGAGGGCTGGGATACTGCCAGGTCGACCAAGCCTAGGCAGGCGAAGTCGAGAGGCAGAGGTCGGGTTCAAACCATGGACCTTTCGGTCAATAAATTCGCGCTCCAACTAATTGAGCCATCTCGGGTGAATGCTTGGGGAAAATCCTGTCGATATGTGATTCCACCGTCCTATCGTCATCATCAATGTTGTTGAAAACTCCTCATTTACGTTAAGTGTGGTCGCATAGCTCGTAAAGATTACTTAGGACCAGAAGTTCTGACGCAGTCGATATAGAGCTAATCACCCCATGATCGCTGCATTCACCACGGACTCTCTTTAAATCGGGGTGACAATCGACTCACCTCAGGATGATGGATCCTTTGCGTCACACCAAGACTTGAAAAAACGTATGTTACATTTTGTGTTAGGACTTTGACACTCATCGAAAACCTCTTTAGTCAGGTTTTCTGGGCCTGAGGTTTTCTACCTCTCAGGGTTCACGAATTCGGTGTGACAGGCCAAGCAGTCAACTTGGCTGCAGTTAGCAGTTCGGGTGGGCAGATGGCCAGTTGAACCGAACTACAAAGTGCTCCCCCAGCACTCTAAGCGTTTTCCTCGGTTGTGTACGATAAGCTATGCTTGTAGTTCCATTAATTTTCTCTGCCTCGTGATGGCGATGCTGATGTGGTGGAAAAGTTTCGGGGCGTTCCCAGGAGTAGCAGCTTTTATTTCTGTAGCTCACTCGGACAACAAGGCTCACAATCAGCGCGGAGGATTCTGGCAGTTTTGTGCTCTAGGGCTAGGCGTGCACCGTTGTGCACCTTATCCGAGGTAGCCGTCACAGCGATTTGAGTAGCTGAAGAGCTCTCGGAGATTCAGCATCGTACTCACTGCTGGATTTGACCACAGCTGTGTCATGCTGGTTACTGCACCACATTCTGCAGGTTGGCCTGGTGTGACTCGCACACATGCAAGGTCTCCAGAGGCTGTCACAAGAAGCCAGATAACCTGTTCTTCGGCGCTTTGCGAATGGATTACTGAGCCCTCTTTTCTGCATACCTTTCCGATGGCCACTTGATCGAATTAGTTATAAGACACTGTTGTTTCTGTTGGCAAAGGCTTTCTCCATCTCCTGAGCTCTCATTGTCCGCCAGAGTTACCGTCCTGTCCTTAGACTCTTCACTATTTTGCTTTTAAGGTATTTGTGTGCGCCGTCGTTCCGGTTGCTTGTTTTTAGAATCTCCTAGCATCACTAATGACTAGCGGTGTCGACTACATTTGATCATATCGAAGGAGTGAAACGACAGGTTTGAAAGCTGTAGAATAGCTCCTTTCACATTTTTTCATGCTTTATCCATCCTTACCAGTCATTTGTTACTTCACGGCGGGGAGTCCAATAGGGTGTAGTAATCTATCATCTAATCTAAAAGTATAAACGGACACAAGCTTCATTTTAAGTGACACCGAGCTGGATTGGGCTGGATGACCGAATGGCTCAAAGATGAAGGGAATGTTGCCGGCAGTAAAAATTTGAACCAAACTAAAACGGATTTTTCAGTTCGTGATTCACACATCACCACTCTTAGTCAGTATGAGGTAGTTGTGCCGAACGTTGGAGAGCGAAAGTTGCTCACCAAAACGTCATGAAGTTGGTTTATCTTATGTTCGAATTTCAAACCCTTTCACTGATGTTGAAGGGTTGAGTTCACAGAGCGTTCATTTTCAACAGTATCAAGTTTTCGGAGCGGGATTTGGACTTTACATGCTTTACCTCAACCTGTGAACTCATTCTGAAAGTTAGCTTCCCTACCTTTGTACCATGAATCAAGTGCGTAGCCGAATGGTTATTCCGGTAAATTCCGATATCGTCGCGGCAATTGCGTCGAAGGAGGGCATTGCATCAGTGTGGATCTGTTATGCTGGTGGTTCAATGTTGCTCTGCGTCAAAGAGTGAGGCCATCGAAATTACGACTGTTCAACTTGTGATTGTTGATGTTGTTTTCCTCTTGTTTGTTTAAGCCACCTTTCGCTTCCAAACGGGACTCTCTCGCCTGTCGTTATGTCCCTTACTTACAGCATCTTTTGCTTGTATGTCTGTCAGTCAGATAGCAAGTAACGACTTTGATGCACTACATGTCGCAGAAAAATAAATAACTTGACGTTCCGAAATGCAACCTGCGCCAATACAGCGTTGCAGTCCAAGTGTGCATCAATGATAGGCTAGACTGGTATTGAGGACGCTTATGGAAGACGATCAAAATGTAAATGTTTGTTTAGAGACAGCCCTCCCAACCATTCATCTTTCGTTTATGTGAAGTTTTTGAGTTTTACCACAACGCTTCACTCCTTGAAGCTTAGTTATCTGTGCCTGTTTTTGTCATCCACTCGTTTTATTTCCTCTCATTGCTTAGGTCTTGGGTCCTGACCAGGCCGACGGCAGACAAGCGTTTCCTCCTCACATACCTGATACTCTCCTCACGAGGTCGAAGTTATGTAGTGACCACAAAGAGGACCCGAACGATAGACAGTGGGCATTTCACCCTTGTCAGCAGTTCCATACCGCCACGGATGTGACTATGCTTAATCCTGAGCAAGTTGTGGAACTGTCCATGAACCCATTACTATCCCCCTCAGGTAAGCACGCTCCACAATGTGTCTGCTGCGCCAACAATGGAAGGGATTATTTCTTCATCCGATTCCGCTGACCACTGCGTAATTTTTCACGCTAATTTTCTTGGTCTTCTCGTCACGTTCAAAGTAAACTGAATCTGTACTGTTTGTCTGCAATTGTGCTCCACTGTCGTCGTAGAAAGCGTTTGGGATGTGATGCTTTGGTATCGGGGGTGATTCGTAAGACTTTATTGGGCAGAATGTTTGGGGAAACGTCATTGCGTTGACAGTGTCTTGGTCACTTGAGAGGTAGGGTTCCGAGGTAGGAGCTCCATTGACAAGTCTTTTCCTGACACTAATCGAGAAACGCTTGTGTCGTTTCTATGTATCCCTACAGAATACGAGAAAAATCAATTCAGCTTCGCGATATGCAATTCATTGATGATGATGCAGAGGTGGATTGGCATTGGGAATCTAAGAATGCTAAAATGTCTTGGGGGCGAGATAGCTTAGTGGTTAGAGCGCGAATTTACTGACTGGAAGTTCCGTGGTTCAAATCCGACCTCTGCCTCTCGACTTCTCCTGTCTAGGCTTGAGCAAACATCTCATGGGAACACTGAGTAAGGATTTCACCTCCATCTTGAACAATGTGGGTCCACTACAACTATCCCAGATGCCAAAATTTTCACTGAGTTGTCAGATAAAGCGGATGGGATCTGAAAGCACCACCGTCATTGATATCGGTTAGACATAATGTCTTTTAGTGTCTTTCAGACAATGAAGATAAGATTGACCCCTTTAGCTCCTCTTGATGATTGAGCCTAATGGCACACTCTTTTCAGACCGAACAGTAGAGGCCAAATAATTCAGATCTCTTACAAGCTTACCTTATGGTGGCTGTTATGTGACCCAGTGAAAAACCTTCGAGATTTGTTATCTGGTTTCGGTTCGGTGCTATCTCATCGCTCCCGCGCTTTCTTATTCGTTGCGCTCCAGCTCCCTTTTCCTCACACTTCATCCCCACGGATTTGGTGGACCTTTTGCAGCCGGACTACTCTCCATCGCATCAACCGCTTGAGGGCAAGTCGCGACCCCGAACTACACCAGACTCTGTCATCTCCATCAGTCCACCGGACAGGACAAGACTTTCAGCTACCATAGCTGCTGTTCGAGAACAAAATGGCTTTCCCAACGTCATGTTGGACGTAGCTGGCTCACTTACTATGGAAGTCAAGGCAAGCCCACGAGAGTCTGTTGCTGGTCAGATGATCGGACTCGAACCAGCGGATGCTCTGCGACCACATGTGAATGCTTCTGCGCCAGAAGTATCCTCAAGCTCCGAAGTAGCACAAGACAGGAAGAACTTGATTGCGTACATCAAGTCGTGGTCTCTTGACGCTGCCAGGCAACATCCAGTCCGCTTTCCATCACAGGTAAGTTTTATACAATGTTTACCATTCGGTAGGACTGCTGGATGTTCTTATGCAAGTTGTCTCTGGACGATCAATTTATTCAGGCAATATTACGAACATTTCACGTAGAAAATTATTTGGTACAAGGCTTGCCAACATAGACATTGATTAATGCACCAACAAGAACTTCACAAGATTCACCAACCTAGCACCCATATGCTAACAAACTACTTCGATGGGGACAGAAAACGGATACTGCGCTTATTTTCCACCTCTCATCAAAATACTTGTAATCTTTCACATGTAGCACCCTTTCGGTGCCTAGCTGCCGTGCCAACGGAAAGAGGCATGACGGCTGGGGTACCGTCAGGTTGCCCAAGTCTAGACAGAAACAGCCGAGATGCTGATGTTGATGACGGGCCTTTCGGACCATCATCTGGCACCTTAACCACCGAGCTGTCTCTAGCCCTTCCACCTCTAGTAACGTGCAACCGTTTTAGTGTATAGGCAGGAGCGATCCTGTCCTCGACTTCACTTGATTCAGTGCCGTTTTCAATTTTGGTACTTACTCAAGGTTTTTTTGCGGAATAGGTAGACTGTGCCCCGATTGCTCCAAACGCAAGTGAAAACGAGTTCACAATACGTATGGTATAAGTTTGAGCATGCGAACTCCCAATGACGCGAATTCACCCTCTGGATGGCTATCTGGTTGTGACGGAAGTAAACATGACTTCAGTCAAAAAATAATTTTGTTATCGTTATGGTTGGGGTGTGCACTTCTGTCATATTTTTCAGATATCCTTGCCCTCTCAAATTCTTTATCGGCTTCTATGTTCCTATTTTCAGGTGCTTTCACATTTTAAACGCACTTCACAAGTTCCACCACTTACGGAAAACCCAGGTAAGCCGACTACGTCTCTCTTCTGCTGGATTTCTGTTTTCACTAACCTCTGTGGAAGTGCGGTTCGCGAGCAGATGATGTCACTGGCATTTGCGTAAACAAATGCGGTAAAAAAAACGGGTATATGGCTGCGATCACCAGCCAGGGTGATCACATGTTGTTCAAGGGATGGTCTACAATGAGCAATGCCTGGCTAGTCAGTTCTTGTGGGTCCAAATGGTTTCCGAGCAGTGATAAAGCAAAAAATAGCTGATGAGTCATCGGTGACTCATCGATCGACAGTCTCTGCTTGTTATTGGCGTTGAGCAGGTGGCCATTCCCTTCGGAAGTGTCGTTTGCGCGGACTCGTAAGTCCCACAAAGCGACCTGGGTGGTTAGACTGAGCTTTTCAACAAAGACAGCAAATGTGACCTGAAGCCTAACCTCATACTTCTGAGAATTTGCCGTGTGACCAACAACTGCGGTAACACGTTGACTGGCTGGAGGGTCAAACTTCCTGTAAGGACGCGACAATAGGAGTTTCGCGGTGGTTGTTTCGGAGACGTGGAATTTCTGGCTTGCACCGAAGTTGCGCACGACTCAGTGTTTACACAGCGACTCCAAATGAGAGTTTCCATCTAGCCAACAGAGATTGGATAGAATTCCTCCATCGGATACGAATTTGGCCTCACTGACTAGCGTGAAACTTAAACCTAACTTGTCATGTTTTGTTATCACAAGCTGTAGAAGCTAGTTAACTCTTAATAAGGTGGTAGTTGGTTTGTTCACTGGGCCTTTTAGTTAGTTTCAAACGCCTGGCTACCGTGAGATGCGGTTAGGTGACTAATCGCTCCATCTGAGCTTGCGCTTGTGTGTTTTTTAGCAGTATTTCCGCAACGTGGTTGGGTGTTTGGAGATTGGCTAGGATTGTTTGGCGGCTATATTTGGTGTTGCTGTTGCGCTTTCGTCTGTTCATGTTGCATTTGGTTGGTTCGTTGAGTGTTTGCACTTCAGTAGTTCTGTTCCTTTACTCCGACTGGTTCACTTCCCCTTTTTCGTGTATTGCGCTTAATTCGCTGTTCCTCCATTTAATTGGTCGACGGAATACCTGCTTTTAGTAGTTTATTATTCTCTAGGATATGAACATTTCCCAGTTGATTTTATGTCGTTCCCGATCTTCGAGAATCGGTCATGTCACCTAGCAGCAAGTTGGTGTTTATGCAGCCTGGTGGATGACTTTCTGTTTGTCCATTGGGTGTTGCACGTAATATCGGTCTCTTTCATTGCTTCCAGTGCAAAAGTGTGTTTGTCGGTTTTTGTGCTGCGTTATGTTGTCGCGACATTCTTGCAGTCATTTCAGAAATTTCTCTGACCTATACGAGTGTAATCCGTTTGTTACTTCCTTACATTGTTGCGTCCGCTGAGTTAAGTTTTCTCAGGAATCTTGGAATAAAGTTCTCGGACAACTATTGCTTCAAAGGACTCTGTATAAATGTTTTTCTGTAACCTCAGATCCCGTGGTGCGTTTCGGTTCTCTCGGAAAGTGCTCGAGTGAAGTTTTGTCTGCGACAAATCGGGTATTTACTATATTAGTCCTGGATGTAATCCGTGTGAGTCGGATTCATCAGTTCATAGTTGTCCATTTGACAGCCTGGTGATGAGCATGTCCAAGAATGCAAGCTTTCCGTCATTATCCTATCGCAAACTTAATACTATCGAAGACGTTTAATACTTCAGTTGTTACCTGTGTTTGGCTCCTTCCGATAATGATGGTCTCACCTACATTACGTATCCACACCTTCAGATTTATTTTTTTGAAGTGTAGCCTATTCTTACTTTTCTGTTGCAGTCTAAGCGGTGAATCCTGAAGCCGGCTATCTCATTAGTACGCATCTCATTTGTTCGCAATAGGCTCAGAGTACGCGGTTAGGTGATGGTTGAGCAATATGCCGATTCCTTCTTTAGATGTCCGTTTGGAAGTTCATGGCTGTCCAATAGTTAAGCAGCAGTTGTCCTGGCGGTATTGGTGTTCACAGGTGAAAACACCGAAGTCACATTGATTGATGCAATAATTTCACCTTACTCGGTTTGTATCCCCTTCAGGCTATCCAAGAAGTTAATTGCGTTGTTGACGGAACTGATAATGTCCCTTCGCATGGTGATGAAACGTTTGTAAGTCAGTTGCGAAAACCCGGTGAACAGATCAAATACCGCCTGACTACCAGCCAGTACATTCACCTGATCTACCAATGGTTAGAGAAATTAGAAACGAGTCGCTTCTCTAAGGTATTAAATTCAAGGTTGACTGTTTGCGTTTTCGGTATCAGTAGACTCGTGTAAAGGCAGTGGGAGCAACGAACGCACGACTGCAATGTATCTCGAAGGCAGCAGTAGGGCTGTGACCACCCAAAATCAGATTGTGACTATCAAACGATTAATTGTGTATCTGATATTGGCAATATCTTGCGTCTTAATCTTGAGTTATCTTGGTAACGGAAGATGATCACGATTCACTGACTGTACTGGGTCTCGTAAAAGCAAAGGATCAATGTTTTCCTGTTACGCAATACTTTACTTTCCAACTTGCCTGTTTCTTCAAGCGAGGAATTCTATGATCACTTCCGTCGTCCAACCTGCAGCTTCCCTTCTGTCCTTCCAGACGTAAACCTTTTTCCTGTCAAGCCCAGTGAACAACCGCATCAACACTATCATTCCCCGACATCTCATGCCAGTCGACCGGATTCTCCAACCCCACCCAATCCATTTTCAACCCAACCAGCACCCCCACTACCTCCACATCTCATTTGCACGGGCAACGTTTGCTGCTTACATAAGCCGGGACAGCTGGTTGACTCCATGGTTCAGACAGCAGATTCCAGTCTGTCCAGCGTGCTAGATTCTTTCGACTCGGACATGGCTCCGCTATCAACCCAGGACTCATTTAAACGTACAACAGTAACCCTTCCGTCGGGTGGGTTTGATGCTGAGGACCGCGGTGGAACCATTCAGCTAGGACAGGATGAAAAGACACTGAATCCTATAGAACGGCATTTCCGCACACTGACACAGAGGTACTTTTTGTTGCCCTACGCTTTGTGGTCACGAGTTCTGTTTTTCTAGAATGTCGACTGATGCATTTGGCTTTGTGCATCTCTATACTATATAGCTTATGAGGAAATTCTGGATATTTAATTGAGATTTCTCTGGACGAGTGGAGTGAATCTATTCCAAAAGGCCGAGAGGCAATTTCGATTGTTTCATCCACGTCGGGATCACCAGCAACGCCCATCTGGGCGGATTTCTTCCCGCAGCCCTCCAGGATACCATACCACTCGCTGAAGTTCTCCTGGACTTAATATGGTGCCACCATTAGCCACTCAGTCAGTTCACGTCACGTGATCCGCCTCCAGATGTCGTTTAGCGCTGGTTTCACCGATTAATTTTCTTTTACAATCATTGTCGCCCTTAATACGGCTCTTTCCAGCCTACCAATCACGACAGCTGTAAAAAGCCCTTTGTTCTCGTGGCATGCAATTAACCCATTGTGGTGGAGCCCTATTGCTTACATTTTCCCACTATGAACTCGTAATTATCGGAAAATATGCAGTCAACGCCCATATTTTGGATTATGAAACTACGTAATGACGTTAGGCGTCTCGCCCAACTAATCTACGAGGGCCACCGTAAAATGAAATTTACAATTATCTGTTAACCTTGTGGTCATTTCCTGAGGTAGAGTTTATGGGTTTCCCCTCTATGCATACTGTACGTATACTGTGGTGGGGCTTAAACGGTGCTGTCCGTGCTTTGTCAACCGCAGACTAAGTGACGTTGTTGCCCAACACAAAAAGGACGAGAAATTGAGAGCAACACTTCCTTTGACACAGAACTGATTCATATCAATTTTTGATCTGATTTTTCAGAATTTAATCTAGTGACGTGTTTATTTCGCCTGAGGACAGTCTAAACGAAAAACAAACTTCTTGCGAAGAGCCTCCCTCTTTAGCGACTGTTGTTTTACGACTTTTGAAAACGGACTTCAACTTGGCTGGTTTTCCCAGAACCGTATCTGAGTTAATATATAGCGGTCGCTTTGTACCCGCATAACGCCTAGCTTTACTTTGTGAACTCGGTCACATTGTTTGCGCAGTAACACAAGGCTACAGTGTCGCATCCGCTGCATACCCTTTTTAGTAGTCCAATCTATTCCATCTTCAAAGGGCCTTTCTAAATTTGTTCACATTCCTGAAACAAAGGTAGACTGGGTTTGCTCTAAGCATATTGATGAAAAACAAACCCACTAGGGAAACTCACTGAAAAGCAGATCCATATTCACGATGAACCTAAAATGTCGCTCCAAGGCATGTACCCGAATGTAATAGTTTGCATTACACTAGATTAAAGGGCAATTTCATTGTCTGGAGATACGCTCGTTTTCTACTCTGGAGATTCTAAGGGTCCTGTCACTGTTCGATGACCAACCAATAACCACTTGACCCTCTACGGTAAGGTGGCTTTTTCAATGGTTGTTTGATTGCGTATTCAGTGGTAACAAGTACAAGGTCAGTGACTGTTGTCTGTAATTCTTGTTTCAGGGTAGGCGTTTTGATGAGGTTCGCAAAAAAGGGACTTTTTTCAGATGTAACCATGGACCGAATACAGGTTGAAAAATTCCCCACGTACAACCAACCTGTTCTCAGATCGCAGATGCTAATGCTGTGAATCTTGGCATTCGTCTGACATATATTGACTTCACGCTGTACAAAAGGATCGGGCGATCTGTCTTCTGGTAGATTCCAGCACAGTAATGTGTAGGTCTCGTGTAACGTCCTTTTCAAATCATTCAAACAGCTCGAGCAGAAAATCGCACTGCACCCTTTCAGCTACGTTCGCACTGCTGGCCGAACTACTCGGTTTTTAGAGACTATCCAAGCTGACCAATAATGACAGTTTACTGCAGTGATTTGCAAGGAGCCGGAAAGAAACCATTTTATTGAAATTCATTCTGAGGGTTTGTTTAGATTAGGGGTTTGTGCAATACCACTTGGTCTTTGAAAATAGACTGTATCGAGATTCGATTGCCTAATGTTCAGGTTGATGATGCAAACATCAAGTGTCCACTGGTTAACCTCCAAGGACTCACCGCATCTACGGTCTAAAGGGTCGTACTTGAAATTCCTGTTCGATTCTGACTCTCCACCCAAGTAAGAGCTGCAACACTTCAGACATCTTACTTGCGTCATTTGTCAAGCCATCCCTCTGATGCTGAAGTGCTGCCACTGTCCACAGTCTTCCAGAGGATTAGGTATCTTAGGTTGTGAACGCTATGCTTGAAGTGCCTCCTTGCTCTGCTGCAAACGGCAGCTTGTTCTTTGTCCGGGGATAGTTAGTCTGGTTAGCACCACCGCTGAACCCATCGGAGCTGTGTTGATCGCTACTCTGCGCCCCATTTCAACGTTGTTCTTTCTTGTCGGAATTTCGCGGCGTTTGTTTCTCCATCTCTGTTGTTCCATGTCGTTGGGCTATCAGATCGTGTCCACTTAACTTAAATTCAGTCGCCTTGACTGGAATGTTTATCTGCGGATAGTTTGCGAACAGCATAGAATTTTAATTTTACCGGAAGTGGATATCATGCTGCTGAACATGAACAGGCAACTGCAGTGTGGTGGGCGTCGAAAATCCCCTCCTACTCAGTGCCGATGGATGCTTCGGTTATCTGTTGTCGCGCTTAGATTTCGATATCAAACTTTTCCAAGTACTACAACGCGTTGTCCTAGTGCGTTTCATTTCGACAGAAATTTTCCGTTTAGCTTCCAGTCTACCAGATAACGAAATTAATAGTTTAACTGTAACACCCTATGCCTAGCTTTTTCCGTTTAGCTTCCAGTCTACCAGATAACGAAATTAATAGTTTAACTGTAACACCCTTTCGATGCCTAGCTTCCAGGTCATTCAAAGGAGGCACGAGGGCTGAAATATCGTCAGGTCGCCAAAGCTTAGACAGGAACAGTCAAGGCACCTAGATTGAGTCCGAATCACGGATCTTCGAGTCAAGTAACTTTTGAGCCTTAACGGCTAGCTCGAGATATCAACCAAATTTTATTACGATTTTCGTTTTTTCCTAACCTTGTCCACCAGCAATCCCAGTTTGACCGAGGGCAGCAAAGCTTCTACCGACGCAGCTGCTGTACAAACACTCCCGGCGGCCACCACTTCAGGGTAGGTTAATGTCAAGCACTCGTTTGTTTCCTTTTCTC